AGTGGGACACGACTTAACGGCTGAACAACAACAACAATCTCTCTTCTCTGAATTTATTCCCAGAGTTATTACTGTGGGAAAGGATAAAGTGATATGAATGCTGCCATGAGCTAACAATAAATAAAGTCAGCTATTTATTTCTGCTTAGATGTATCAATCAAATATGTATGTAGATGATCCAATACTGCAGGTTCTGGTCTCAAAGGAAAAGGTAAAAGACCTTCTGGACTCGTGCTGTGACTGCATAGATGTATCCATGTTTTTTTCTTGGCAGTAAAACGGACATGATTTGTCTTTTTTTTTTTTTTTTGCTGGGATACTGTAGATAGCTATGGAGAGGGCCTTGAAGCAGATATTCAGAAACTGTTATATAAACAAAAAGGACAGAAGCATTCCTTAAGTCCAAGGAAAGCAGATAGTGTTAAGAGGGGATTTAAGATGACTCTTCCTAACTCACTAGGGTATAAGAGGGAGGGAAAGAAAAGCACAATCAGACTTGCAAGATTCTGTTACTATAGGCTATCTCAATAAAGTAAAGTTCTAGTCTTCCTGTTGAGTCTGTTTCCTGATCTGGTCTACCTTGTACGGCTGACAGATACTTAGGGTAGATCCCTTTAAATCAGCAGAACCTTAATTTAGACAGAGGCCCCATTGATTTCAGCAAGTCTAACTCTAAGAATGCCAGTGTTTGGATCCAACCCACCTTCTGTGCAAAAGCTGATGCCATGTATTTATAAAAATATATCCAGATCAGCTGTGAGTGCCTTAGAAATGGGGCTTACTCTTTTCCGTATATGCCACATTCACCCTGCCACTAGATTTATTTATGAATAGCTAACACATTTCAAAGATGATTAATCCTGCCTACGTTCGGCGCTTATATGAACTGAACAAACTGAGTCTTATTATTAAAATTATGTGATTCGCAAACATTTTACAAGGAAAAAGAAAAAAAAAGCCTAATCTTTGCCAAGACTAGATGGGGCCACCTGGCTTCCAGATTGTGTTAATTACTGTATTGTTTACTGAACAGTAATGAAAGTGATAGATGGCTACTTGTGTGTCTGTCCTCAATGTGACAGATATGCCGCTATGTGAATCTACCATCGTGACCCTGTTATCATATTAGTGTTGTTATATTTTGATACTCTTTTCCCTAAAACAGAAAGATATGAGAAGTCTTCTCATTAATACAAGAAAAAAATTATCACCTGCAAAATTTGATAGTGGAAATGTCAGGTACCAAAAAACTTATACTAGACCCATTTGGGAATCTTTGTTATGACTGAAGGAAGCAGTTCCCCTGTAAAGTGGTACTTTCTATTATCTAGTCAATTTAATCCTGGCATTTTTTTCCTTAATTGCTCCTTGTACATTTCCCCATTGAGAAATTCACTAGATCTGACAACAGTGGCTTCTCCTTTGCTATGTCACTTGCTGAGATGAGCAGCTTTACAAATCAATTAAATAAATAAAAATAAATCAGTTTCACTGCAAGAGGACCCTGCAAGGTGTATAATGTGAACATTTTTTCTTTTAGGAAAAAGCCCCAATTTTCTTAGCACTGTAATGATAAAAGCAAAAAATAGATGAAAGTGGCAGGGAATCTCTTAGGAATTTATCCATCTTGAATTTTTCATGGAAAGGTGGGATATAAATATTCTATATAGGTAAATACCAGTATAATAGAACAGTGTTGTGCAATGAGTTCTTAAACAGATCATTTTGGCAAACATATGCTAAAAGTGCAGGAAGAAAGTCACACAATGCTTATGCATTATTGCAAATTACTTATAACAAGGATATAACTAGAAGGTCTGCTTTTTAATATAGTATTGCTTCCTGACTGGCAACAATTACTTCAAATGACAGCTAGTCAAATACATAGAATCTATCATGCTTGGAACCATGCATAATAGTCTGCATGGAATTAAGAATATTTATTTTGTTGTGTTGTGTTTCATTTTAACAATGTACATAGCTGCCCATCTCACAATACAGTGTCCCTAGGTGGTGAGCAAGGATTAAAACTGAAACAAAACCACAATATAAATAATAACCAGAAACAACAAAATAAACATTAACATATGTGTGAGATTTAAGAACATTCTACTTCTAATCCTAGGACTGCAACCAAACAGATCAACTGATAGAGTTTACTTAACCTCCTACCCTGAAAGCCTGGGGGATCAACCTGCTCCGTAATGCTTTACGAAAGGTCAGGGCCATCTGGATTTTCAGACAGACACAGTTCTGTAGGGCAGGTGACTCTATGTCCCACCAGATGACACTCCATAATAGAAGTGACCTGGAACATGCCCACTCTGCTGGCCCTGGTGGAGCAGGCAGAGCCAGTCAGAGACAGGTGAGGCACACTTCATAGAAGTGCAAATGAAAGCCCCTTCTTAGGGCTTGATTCAAGATTGTGGCACTCCCTGCTAATAAAGGCCAGGTTTCCTTCCTCTATGTTGTCCTGCTGTTATTGGGCAAAAAAATGTTTTATTTGTTGGCTGATCTCAGGTTTAACTAGTGGGTGGTAAAGAATTACTCATAAATCTGTAGCTTTGGAGTTATATTTTATTCTTGGTTCCTATGGGCACCACTTTTGGCAGAGAAACAGAAGGTCTAGAGGGGCTACAAGGTTGACAGTCACAAATACTGCAACGGTCCTTCACATCATTCTTTGGCCAACTCTACAAGGCAGCTTACTCTGCTTCTCTTGTGTGCTGCTCCTGAAGCCAATTTTAATAATTTCATTCTGGATTGCAGTTGGTTGATAATGAGGCCAGGTTTGGGGCCCGGTCTCGATTACAGCCACTGTAGGCCCTGATTGGTCACTCCCTGCCTTTTGCCTTCTCATCTGTTGTATGCAGGGAAGGCAAACCTTGATAGCTGGCCTCTGTGAGGTCACATCTCCCTGGGCTTGCCTATCCTTTTTTAGCTAATGTTCCCTCCTCATTAGTCCTTGGTTTTTTTTTCTTTTGCTTTCCCAGTTGCTTGCACACATGGCCACCTTCATTCATACACCCTTCCCAGGTTCTCTCTTTTGACAGCAGTGCAAACCCTTTCTTATTCCCCCCACCACTTCATTGTACTATCATTGCTCCTACACTACAGAGACTAAAACAAAGATGTTCTTTATTCCTACTTTTGTTGTAGGCCCACTGAAAGTTTGTGGAAGGGAAGAACTGATAGTTCAGTTGTGCAGAAGGAAAGAAACATGCACTGAAACTTTCAGCTTTGTTCCAACCTGCCTGTGTTGGGGGGTGGGAAATGAAGCTTTGCAATACTGTGGAAGAGATGGGAAAGCAAGGGGAGTACGCTTAGCCTGGGAGCAACCAAAAGCATCTCACTGGGAGATGTCAGGGTTGACTAGAGCAATGAGCTTCTAGAGAGGACAGGAAAATAGAGGGTGAGGAAAAATTACTGATTTAATGGGCCATTGTTGGATCAAACACAAGATAATTTTTAAAATGGCTGCTGTTGACTGGTAGAGAACATAGGAGCTGCTGGAGGGGAGGGCATGTGCCAGTAGCCAACTCGACCTGGGGTTGTCAGTAGATCAGAAAAACTGTGATACAAACCATCCACTTGGAAGGGCTTACGAAGACTTAGGATGGAAAGCAGCAGTTCTGAACCAGAGTTTTAAAACACAGGCAGTGGATGCATTTGTGATTGGCTAGAAGTGGGTGGATGACATCATCTGTTCCTGCACTCAAGAAGCAATGGGTGGCCAGTCCTGGCAGTGGGGCAAACAAAAAGTGCAGATCTGCCCTTCATTTCCCCTATTCAGATTCGGCACACAGAATAACCTCCTAATTACCGGCTTATAAGAGCTGTTTCATTAGATGTACATACATTTCAGCTTTTAAAAAGTTATCAGAGAAATAAACTACTGATCAGACTATTTGTGGTACAACTATAAGTCATAAAAATCATTATACATTTGACATCTAGCATTCCTGTAAAAG